GAGGAATCGAACCCAGGGCCTCATGCATACAAGGCAAGTGCTCTACCACTGAGCCACCTTCCCAGTCCCTTACCACACATTTTTAAAAATACTAGCTTTCACTGAGCTCCTGTGGTTCACAACTGCAATCCTAGCTACTCAGGAAGGCTGAGGTCTAAAAACTGGGGCTTGAAGCCAGACTCTTATCGCCAATTAACCACCAGAAGGGAAAAAAAAAAAACAAAAAAAACAACGTTAAGTGGAGCTATTGTAGAGCACCAGCCTTAAGAAAAAAGGCTAAGGGACAGCACCCAGGCCGTGGGTCCAACCCTCAGTACCCAGACAGATGACAGACAGACAAGGAAGACAAGGAAGGAAGACAAGGAAGGAAGACAAGGAAGGAAGGAAGGAAGGAAGGACTACAGACTTCAATTAACTCTCAGAAACACCTAAAATGCATTCAGCACTAACTAAACACTTGACTCTAGGTGGTGGTGATGGTTGTTCTTGTTTTTAAAAAAAGGAGGGGGGTAGGGAGGGTAGGTCTGGGATATGGCTTAGTGGTAGAGTGCTTGCCTATCATGCATAAAGCCCTGGGTTCAATTCCTCAATACCACGTAAACTGAAAAAGCCAAAAGTGGTGGCACTGTGGCTCAAGTGGTAGAGTGCCAGCCTTGAGCAAAAGCAGCTCAGGGACAGTGCCCAGGAGTTGGGAGTTCAAGCCCCAGGACTGGCAAAAACTAAACAAAACTTTGATCTTTATTAGCACAACACACTCAGATGGCTGCACACTAATAAAGACACCGCATCACCAGAACTCCATAAAACCTTGTCAAGAGACAAAAAGAAAACCCACGCAAATGATCTCATTAAAGAAATCTGTGTCCACTCCAGAACTAATTGCAAAACTCGCCACAAGAAAAAAGTCTACGTGCCCTCAGCTCTGATTGTCATCATAGAAGGCAGGTAATGACCAGAATATCAGAAAAAACTAAAATTAGAAAGACCCTCTGGGTCTGGAAAGATGGCTCAGTGGGAGAGTGCTTGCCTCGCATGCATGAGGCCCTGAGTTCGATCCCTCAGCACCACATAACCAGAAAAAGCTACAAGTAGTGCTGTGTGGCTCAAATGGTAGAGCGCTAGCCTTGAGTTGAAGAGCTCAGGGACAGGGCCCAGGCCCAGAGTTCAAGCCCCAATACTGACCAAAAAATTAAAAAGAAAGACCTCCTGCCTCTGCTCTGGCCACCACCATCCTTCATCATTTCCCTCTGCATCATTTCTGGAACGCAGTCTGACCCAAGACTCCCTGTTTCCTGTATACAATAGCGAAGTTTAAAATAAATTGTTTTTCTTTAAAAGAAAAAAAAAAAAACCATCTAGAGCAGTGGTACTCACTAGACATTATGTGGAAAATGAAGTATACAACTTGTGGGTCGGGGATGGGAGGGAAAAACTGGGAGAGCAGGAGAGAAGGGGAGACATTTTCCAAAAAGAAATGTACTGGGCTGGGAATGTGGCTTAAGTGATAGAGTGCTTGGCCTAGCATGCATGAAGCCTTGAGTTCGATTCCTCAGTAGCACATACACAGAAAAAGCTGGAAGTGGTGATGTGGCTCCAGTGATTGAGTGCTAGCCTTGAGCAGAAGCAGCTCAGGGACAGTGCCCAGGGCCTGAATTCAAGCCCCAAGACTGGAAAATAAATTAATTAAAATTTTAAAAAAATTAAAAAATGTATTCCTTACCTGACTTATGTAACTGTAACCCCGCTGTACATCTTTTCTTTTTGGCTGGTCGTGGGACCTGAACTTAGGGCCTGGGCGCTGTCTCTCAGTTCTTCAGTTCAAGGCAAGCGCTCTACCACTTGAGCCACAGCGCCACTTCTGGCTTTTTTTCTGCTTCTGTGGTGCTGAGGAATCGAACTGAGGGCCTTAATGCATGCAAGGCAAGCGCTCTACCACTGAGCCACCTTGCCTGCCCTGGACATCCCTTTTACAATAACAGTAAATTTAAAAAAAAACAACAACAACAAACCCAAATCTTAAGAAATAAATAAAGAAAACTAAAACCCACCCAGGAGTACACAGGAGCAGAGCCTGGAGCGACAAGACCAAGAACAACTACAAGAAGCCGAGCACACCGGTTTACCTCTCTTCCTGATCAGAGAGCGGGGTCCTCCCTCCTGCACCCCCCCACACACACCCCAGGAACCACACACACACACCAGGAACGCCAGGAACCACACAAACACACACACACACAGAACCACCGCAAGTTCTAGAACCCAAGTTACCTTGGGAGTGGGAGGGGGGGGTGCGAGGGGGGGCAGGAAGGAGAAATTGGGGGCGACTGAGCCCGGTCCTAGCCGTGACCCCCGGCGGGGGAGGGGGGTGCGGGCCGGGGAGGGGGGTGCGGGCCGGGGAGGGGGGCCGGGGAGGGGGTGCGGGCCGGGGAGGGGGGCCGGGGAGGGGGTGCGGGCCGGGGAGGGGGGTTGTGCGGGCCGGGGAGGCGCGGCCGGGGAGGGGGTTGCGGGCGGGGAGGGGGTTGCGGGCCGGGGAGGGGGTTGGGTTGCGGGCCGGGGAGGGAGGGGTGCGGGCCGGGGAGGGAGGGGTGCGGGCCGGGGAGGGGGGGGTGCGGGCCGGGGAGGGGGGGTGCGGGCCGGGGAGGGGGGTTGTGCCGGCCGGGGAGGGGGGTGCGGGCCGGGGAGGGGGGGGTGCGGGCCGGGGAGGGAGGGGTGCGGGCCGGGGAGGGAGGGGTGCGGGCCGGGGAGGGGGTGCGGGCCGGGGAGGGGGGTTGTGCGGGCCGGGGAGGGGGTGCGGGCCGGGGAGGGGGTGCGGGCCGGGGAGGGGGGGTGCGGGCCGGGGAGGGGGTGCGGGCCGGGGAGGGGGGGTGCGGGCCGGGGAGGGGGGCCGGGGAGGGGGTGCGGGCCGGGGAGGGGGTGCGGGCCGGGGAGGGGGGTGCGGGCCGGGGGGGGGGGTGCGGGCCGGGGAGGGGGGGTGCGGGCCGGGGAGGGGGGGGGTGCGGGCCGGGGAGGGGGGCCGGGGAGGGGGTGCGGGCCGGGGAGGGGGGCCGGGGAGGGGGTGCGGGCCGGGGAGGTGGGCCGGGGGGGGGGGTGCGGGCCGGGGAGGGGGGGGTGCGGGCCGGGGAGGGGGGGGGTGCGGGCCGGGGAGGGGGTGCGGGCCGGGGAGGGGGTGCGGGCCGGGGAGGGGGGGTGCGGGCCGGGGAGGGGGGGGGTGCGGGCCGGGGAGGGGGGCCGGGGAGGGGGTGCGGGCCGGGGAGGGGGGCCGGGGAGGGGGTGCGGGCCGGGGAGGGGGTGCGGGCCGGGGAGGGGGGGGTGCGGGCCGGGGAGGGGGTGCGGGCCGGGGAGGGGGGGTTGTGCGGGCCGGGGAGGGGGTGCGGGCCGGGGAGGGGGGTTGTGCGGGCCGGGGAGGGAGGGGTGCGGGCCGGGGAGGGGGTGAGGGCCGGGGAGGGGGGGTTGTGCGGGCCGGGGAGGGGGTGCGGGCCGGGGAGGGGGGTTGTGCGGGCCGGGGAGGGAGGGGTGCGGGCCGGGGAGGGGGGGTGCGGGCCGGGGAGGGGGGCCGGGGAGGGGGTGCGGGCCGGGGAGGGGGTGCGGGCCGGGGAGGGCGGTGCGGGCCGGGGAGGGGGTGCGGGCCGGGGAGGGGGGCCGGGGAGGGGGTGCGGGCCGGGGAGGGGGGCCGGGGGGGGGGGTGCGGGCCGGGGAGGGGGGGGTGCGGGCCGGGGAGGGGGGGTTGTGCGGGCCGGGGAGGGGGTGCGGGCCGGGGAGGGGGGTTGTGCGGGCCGGGGAGGGGGGGGTGCGGGCCGGGGAGGGGGGGGTGCGGGCCGGGGAGGGGGGGGTGCGGGCCGGGGAGGGAGGGGTGCGGGCCGGGGAGGGGGTGAGGGCCGGGGAGGGGGGGTGCGGGCCGGGGAGGGGGTGCGGGCCGGGGAGGGGGGGGTGCGGGCCGGGGAGGGAGGGGTGCGGGCCGGGGAGGGGGTGAGGGCCGGGGAGGGGGGGTGCGGGCCGGGGAGGGGGTGCGGGCCGGGGAGGGGGTGCGGGCCGGGGAGGGGGGCCGGGGAGGGGGGTTGTGCGGGCCGGGGAGGGGGTGCGGGCCGGGGAGGGGGCGGTGCGGGCCGGGGAGGGGGGGGTGCGGGCCGGGGAGGGGGGTTGTGCGGGCCGGGGAGGGGGTGCGGGCCGGCGCCCCCACGCGCCGGGCTGCTGGACAGCGCCCCCGGGGGAAGAGGCGCGGGAGGCGCGGCGGGAGGCGCGGGCCCTGGGCGGCCGCGGCCGTACCTGTGGCGGAGGCAGCGCGGTCGGCGGCGGCGGCGGCGATGCTGAGGGCGGCTGAGGGCGGCGGGGAGCGGCGGGGAGCGGCGGCGGGGAGCGGCGGCGGGAGCGAGCGTGCGCGCTCTCGGGAGACCGCGGCCCCGTCCCGGACGCCAGCCGCGCTCACCCTTTTCACGGCCGCCCGGGCGCCGGCGTCCTTCCCCGCCCCTTCACCTCTCACCTTCTACCTTTCCCCTCTCGCCGCCGCCTCCGCCGCCCTTCACACGTGCGGCTCCGCCCCCGCCTCTTCCCCCCCCCCCCGCCCTCCCCCCTACACACAAGGCGTGCGCGTGCGCGCGCGCCTGCGCAGCCGGGCTTGCGCGTCCCGCAGCTCTCGCCCCGCCCCCTGGCCGTCCCCGGCCACCTGCCACTCATCCGGGAGGAAGTCCTGTGTGGCTGAGCTGCTTGGCGGAGGGGAAGCGACGGCGCCCGAGGGGCGGGGAGCTTGGGAGGAAGCAAACGGGGGTCCTCGCCCCCCAACCCCGCTCCCGGCCCTCCACGGCCGGCCGCTGCGGAGCTTTTGACAGCACGTTCCCCGCCGAAAGTCACCGAGAGCGCGCACAAGATGGCTCACGGTCCCTGCTGGGGAGCAGCCAAGAACTAGGAGGGAGGCTGGAGACCCTCGGATCCGCGTCCCGGGAGAGAAAACAACCACAACACAGTCATCGAGAGCCGCTGGAGGGGCTGGGCCGGTGGCTCAGGGGTAGAGCGCTTGCCTTGCATGCATGAGGCTCTGGGTTCGAGTCCCCAGCACCACAGAAGCAGCCAAAAGCCCGAGGTGGCGCTGTGGCCCAGGTGGTAGAGCACTCGCCTTGAGCTGAAGAGCTGAGGGACAGCGCCCAGGCCCCGAGTTCCAGCCCCAAAAGCAGCTGAGTTACGCTGGACAAGCAGATGGTTGGGTGCATTGTGTATCTGGAATGAAGGGTGGGTGGGTTTGGTTTTGGGGTGAGCTCTTCAGCTCTACCACTTGAGCAAATGTCCGCTGACGGCTTTTGTGCTGGCTAATTGGGGGTAAGCAGCTAACAAGACTTATCTGCCCAGGTCATCCTCACCACTGAGCCTCAGGTCTCAGCCCCTTGGGTAGCTAGGATTGCAGGCGTGGGTTGCAGCATGGGCCACCAAGTCCGGCTGCTCCTGTTGGGGGTTTTTATGTTGTTGTTTTTTAACTCAGGGCATGGGCACCGCCCCTGAACTTTTGTGCTCAGGGCTTAGCACTCTGCCACTTGGAACCACAGCTCCACTTCCTGTTTTCTCTTTTTTTCTTTTCCACGTCCCGTTTTCTGATCTTTAATTGGAGATAAGTCTCAAGGACTTTCCTGCCCGGTCAAGCTTTGAAGCCTGATCCTCAGACCACAACCTCCTAAGATTATAGGTTGAGCCATTGATGCCTCCTTGAGCTTCCCCCCACCCCCACCCCCAAGGATTGCACTCTGCCACTTGAGCCACAGCTTCATTTCTGGCTTTTGGGTAGTTAAATGAAGATAAAAGTCCCATGGTGTCAGATCTCAGCCTAGGCTTATGGTCAGGAGCCACATCAGGATAAATTACACACTAGATAGAGCTTGATTAAAAGGAGAAGGTGATGAGCTCTTTATAAAGACAAATGGAAGTTTTTGATAAATGTAAAACAAGTTAAACAAGCAGGAAAAAAATAGCAATATTTTTAATTAACTCATTATGTATGCCAGTACTGGGGACTTAAACTCAGGGCATGAGCGCTGTCCCTTAATTTATTTGCTCAAGCCTTCTACCACTCGAGCCACACCTCCACTTCCAGCTTTTTGGAGCTCAAAGTCTCACAGACTTTCCTGGCCAAGCTGGCTTTGAACTGCCATCCTCAGATCTCAGCCTCCCGAGTAGCTAGGATTTACAGGTAGGAGCCTCCAGGGCCAGATTCCTCTCTCTGTTTTCAGGACAGGGCCCCACGTAAAGGTATACATGCCATCATAGAACCATCCAACCCTTTCTGTTCAACCAGTCCAACATGAAAGACTATTTCCTGGCAGGCTGCTACCTTTTACACAGCTAAAAAATGGTCCAAGTTAGCTTTAGCTGCCCCCTAAATCGAGTCACAAGACGGCAGGAGACATCCCTTTGGCAAAAAAGGACACGTTCTTGTCCTGTATCTTATACTGGTATATGAGGCTCCGATCCCGCCGGCCTGTGGACTTCCTCCAAAGGATCTTCAGCTGCAAATAGAAAGAAGAATGAAAGAGGGGGCAGTCACCCCAAGTGCCACTGTGAACCCCACTCTGTCCTCTGTGATCTTCAACTGGGATCACATAACACACTGTACAGTAATGGGACCAACTTCTGTTTCATTCTTTTGTGTGTGTGTGGGTGTGTGTGTGTGTGTGTGCACCCGCGCCCTTGTAGTGGGACTGAGGCATGAACTCAGAGCCTCCTGCCCTTTTTGTTTTTCTGATCATTCCTGGGGCTTGAATGCTGGGCCTGGGTGCTGTCCCTGAGCCTCTTTGTGCTCAAAACTAGTGCTCTACCACGTGAGCCACAGCACCGCTTCCAGCATTTTCTGACTAATTTGTTGGAGATAAGAGACTCACAGATTTTTCTGCCTAGGCTACCTGCAAAGTGGGATCCTCAGATCAAAGCCTCCTGAGTAGCTCAGATTACAGATATGAGCCACCTGCACCCGCTAGCCTCCGGCTCTCATCAGCTTTCTTGCTCACAATAGTCACTGCACCATTTGAGCCATGCCTCCACTTCTGAATTTTGCTGGTTAATTGGAGATCAGAGTCTCTCATATTTGTCTGTCTTGGTTGGCTTTAAACCTTGATTCTCAGATCATAACCTCCTAAGAAGCTAGAAGTACACGTAGGAGCCACCAGAGACCAGCTTGAAACCAATTTCTAAAATAAACATGACTAGCTAATGAAAAATAGTCATCCCTGCATTAAATAAGCTATATTTGCTCACTCATTACAGAAAAGTAAAAGAAGAAAAATGTCACCCAAGCCAGACACCAGTGGTTCACACCTGTCATCCTAGCTACTCAGGAGGCTGAGATCTGAGGATTGTGGTTCAAAGCCAGCCTGGGCAGGACAGACAGTTCATGAGACTCTTATCTCCAGTTAACCACCAAAACACTGGAAGTGGCACTGTGGCTCAAGTGGTAGAGCACTCACCTTGAATTGAAGAGCTCAGGGACAGCACCCAGCCCACATTTCAAGCCCCATGACCAAAAAACAAAAAAAAAAGAAAAGAAAAGAAAAAGAAAAATGTCACCCATGGGAAAAAAAAATTATAATAGTATTTTTAGGTATTTCCCATTGTCTCTTTTTCTTTTTTTAAATACAGTTCCCATGGAAACTTTTTTTTTCTTTTTTGTTTTTGGTGGGCTTGGGGCTTGAACTCAGAGCCTGGGTACTATCCCTGAGCCATAGCTCCACTTCTGGTTTTCTGGTAACTCATTGGAGATAAGAGTTTCATGGACTTTTCCTGCCAGAGCTGGCTTTGAACTACAATCCTCAGATCACAGCCACCACACCAAAGTAGGTAGCATTACAAGTTTGAGCCACCAGCACCTGCTTTTTTTCTTTCCTTTTTTTTTTTTTTTAAGGTATCTATGGCTGGGAATGTGGCTTAGTGGTAGAGTGCTTGGCTAGCATGTGTGAAGACCTGGGTTCCAGCCTCAGTACCACATAAACAGAAAAAGCCAGAAGTGGTGCTGTGGTTCAAGTAGTAGAGCACTATAGTGCCTTGAGCACTGAGACAAAATCCCAGACCAGAGTTCAAGCCCCAGGACCAGAAAAAATAATAATAATAAATAAAGATATCTAGGGGCTGGGAAGGTGGCTCAGTGGTAGAGCGCATGCCTTGCATGCCAGAGGCCCTGGGTTCGATTCCTCAGCACCACATAAGCAAAAAGAAAAAAGCCGGAAGTGGCTCTGTGGCTCAAGTGGTAGAGCGCTAGCCTTGAGCTGAAGAGCTGAGGGACAGCGCCCAGGCCCAGAGTTCAGGCCCCATGACCGGACCCAAAAAAACAAATAAATAAAGATATCTAGGGTTTAAATGTTAGTCTGTGATTTTTTTTTTCTGGAAGTCTATACTACAGGGAGACAGACAAGCAGATAGTTCCCAAAGTAGAATTATAAAGACAACACTTGCATAAACGTGATTAAGACCTGCTTACTGGGTACATAAAGGGTATAAGCAGATCCAACACTAAAAATAAACAAAATGTTGAATTAGACCAATTTAAATGAGGTATCTTCTAATACCCTAGTGATGGTTAGTTGTCCTGATCGACATCAGGCATGTTCATCCTGGTCACGAAGATGAATTCAGTGTGGCCTTTGGTTTTTTGGTTTTGTTTTGTCGGTCTCAGTGCTTGAATTTAGGGCCTGGGTGGTGTCCCTTAGCTTTTTCTTTTTTCTTTTTTTCCAGTCCTGGGGCTTGAACTCAAGGCCTGGAAACTGTCTCCAGGTTCTTTTACTCAAGGCTAGCACTCTACCACTTGAGCCACAGCACTACTTCCAGCTTTTTCTGTGGATGTGGTACTAAGCAATTGAACCCAGGGCTTCCTGCATGCCAGGCAAGCACTCTACCACTAAGCCACATTCCCAGCCCATCCCTTAGCTTTTTCACTCAAGACTGGCATTCTACCACTTGAGCCGCAGCTACACTTCGGTGATTAATTGGAGATAAGAGTCTCACAGATTTTCCTGTGTTGGTTTTGAACCATGCTCTTCAGATCTCAGCTTTCTGAGGAGCTAGGATTACAGGTGTGAGCACCAACATCTGGTTTTATACTTATTGACATCAGAGAATGTACATTCTGCACAGAGGTGCGGGAAGGCTGCACATTGCTTCTGCTGCTGCTGCTGACTGAAATGCTTGAGGAACAGGTTTGAGAGGAACCACAGCTGCCCATCCAGAACCTTCTACCCATGCTGTACCACAGACACCCCAATAGCATTCCTGGCCATTCTCATTCCAAATGATTCCAGGCCAATTGTCCATTCTGGGTTAAAAGGATCTAACATCAGAGACTGGGAAGGTGGTTTAGTGGTAGAGTGCTTGCCTAGCAGGCATGAAGCCCTGGATTTGATTCCTCAGGACCACATAAACAGAAAAAGCCAGAAGTGGCGCTGTGGCTCAAGTGGTAAAGTGCTAGCCTTGAGTAAAAGAAGCTCAGGGATAGTGGCCAGGCTCTGAGTTCAAGTCCCAGGACTGGCCAAAAAAAAAAAACAAAAAAAAAATCAGTACACAACCAGCCTTGCACTGGAGGCTCATGCCTGTCATCCTAGCTACTGATCTGAGGATCATTATTAGAAGCCAGCCTGGGCAGGAAACGTCCATGAGACTCATCTCCAATGAACCTTGATAACCAGAAGTGGTGCTGTGTCTCAAAGTGGTAGAGCCGTAGGCTTGAGTGAGCTCAGGGACCATGCCTTGACCCTGGGCACTGTCCCTCAGCTCTTCAGCTCCAGGCTAGCTCTCTACCACTTGAGCCATAGCGCCACTTCCCATTTTCTGGTGGTTTATTGGAGATTAGAGTCTCATGGACTTTCCTGCCCAGGTTGGCTTTGAACCTTGATCTTCAGATCTCAGACTTCTGAGTAGCTAGGATAACAGGCATGCACCACCAGCGTCCAGCCCAACTCGTTATTTTTTAAAGAACAGTGTTGTGTTGTGCAGAGTACTCAAAGATCACTGTAGTACTAAGAGGAATCAGCTCATTTGTTAGCTCCCTTTTTGACTTAAGGCTAGTACTCTA